GATATTTTAGCCATCTCGGCTAAATTTGTAACTTTCAATGTCCATTCTTGAGTTGTAGGCAGGTCTTCCTTCTTCTGGGGCACTATTGTTAAGTTTAGGGTTTTCTCACTGAAATCTAGGTCTGTATCAGCCCCACCAGGTGAACTAGACCAAGAATCAACTTCACAGGAAGGATAAAACTACTTTTATTGAGCATGGCTACAATAACAGAATCTGATTGTGCTGTATCTCCTGTTCTTATAAACATTGTGTGTGTGTGTGTGCGTGTTTGTGTGTTTGTCTGAGCCTCTTCCACATACTTTCTGCTTGCTATGGATTTAATATCTTAAGAGCCGCAGTGGCTCTTAAGATATTAATATCTAAATAAAATATAAAGTATGTATATATTGTAACATTTATTTTTCTCTGTGTGATAAAACAATCACATAAGGAAGCCAAAGAGAATTCATTGAAAGCCCTTGGAATTTCTTTCCTGCCCTGTAGATCAAATTTTGCAACTGTTTCAAGTTGCTGTTTTCAAATAGTCAATCTAAATGGATAAAATGTACTCCTGTTTTTCAGGAGGATCTGTTGCTCATTTGTTAGGTAAATATGGAGCCTTTAAAGAGTCTGTAGTTGCCAACTACACAGAACAGTTGCTTCGTGGCCTGGCTTATCTTCATGAAAATCAGATCATTCACAGAGATGTCAAAGGTAAGATCAATGTTACTATAGCTGGACAATTACGCATTGCCAATCAGTGAACCATCTAATGTGAATAATTATTTTTAATTCATTCATCACTATCTAGTTTCATTCTTTAAATTGTTGGCAGATGTTAACTTGCCTCAATGTGTTTAGCTATTTTGGTATCATTGCTTGTGTAATGTTCAGTACTTGTTTCTCTTCATCTTGGATTATATTAAAATAAAGTGTGTTGAAAAGCACTAATTTTTAGAATATTTACATGCTATGGATGATATCTCAGTAATTCTCAGGAAGAATTATGATTATCTTCAAAAATATTCTGTGATGTAGTACTGAAAGCACCAAGATAAGTAGGATTGTATGCTGTCAGGCACAGTGCTAACTTCTTTTAGGTTTCTTCAAGCCTAGTTATTATATATTATTGTACATTGTCTAGAGCTGTGACTTGCTATCCACAGACAACTTGCTTAGAAATGAAAAAAAATTCACATTATATTGCTTAATATTTCAAGAGCTATTGGATACCTACTTTAGTTTTTTTAGTTTTAATGTTCTGTTTGTGTTCTGAAAACTCTCCCCCTCCCCCCTCCATCTATCTATCTATCTATCTATCTATCTATCTATCTATCTATCTATCTATCTATCTATCTATCTATCTATCTATCTATCTATCTATCTA